ATATATATATATATATATATATATATATATATATATATATATATATATATATATATATATACACATACATACATACATACCCCCATACACACACACACACAACATTTCACTGTTTTTGCTGTTTATATATAAAACATGTGAATATATATATATATATATATATAAATAAATAAAACTTTATATAACTTGCTCCAGTTAATATGTAACAGCTTGCCTGCCTGACCTTTATGAAAAACTAATTACAGACCCATCTCAAATCTTCCTTTTATGTCTAAAATTTTAGAAAAAGTTGTGTCTGCTCAATTGTGCTCCTTCCTGCAAAAAAATGATCTCTATGAAGAATTGCCCAATATTATGAAAAATATGCATGTCCTGAGAACATAACCTTTCAGTTAAAATCACATATAAATATTTCTCTCTATATCTTTCTCTATATATCAATATATAGATGTCATAAAAGATCTGAAACCCTTATTTAAACAACACATTTTGGGTTGAATATTAACATCTATAAATAAATGTGACATTTATTATGATGTGATTGGTTTTCTTTGAAGTATGCCCAAAGTCAGAACCCTCTCTGATCTTTTCATTTCTCCTGTTATTAAACTATTATCTCTAAATTACAGGCAGGTGAGCACAGCAGGACTCAAACACATTAAGAACAGTACTGTTGTTACATGCTGCCATCTAGCGATGATACCGATGCTGTGAGATGAAAATAATTATTCCACAGAGGAAATATATTGCTTTTCACGCTGAACAACAAAATAAAAGGTCATTTAAAGGTTAGTATTTAAGTATTAGCACATATAGGCCAACTTCATTTTTTAATGTATTTTTTTTGCTTCACGCCATTCAATATGTTAATAAAAGCAGTTGATGTCAGTCAGATAGATAGATAGATAGATAGATAGATAGATAGATAGATGTAAACAACCCATTATCCTCTTGCATTCTACTCTGTTGGCCCATAGAGGGTGCTATACACATAAATAGCTACATATAGCTACACATACACACATTCCGATTCTAACTACTAGGGATGTGCGATACCACTTATTTTGTTTTCGATACGATACCGATATTTTTCAAGGCAGTATCGTCGATACCGATTCGATACTTCTGAACTAAACTTTTAAATTATGAAATGTATTAAATTATTAAATTACTAAGAGTAAAATGGGTAATGATAAGCACTTAACTTTATGTTTAAAACGCATTTTAACATTCAATACGCCTTAATTGTAACTTATTAGGTTATATTTTTGTTTACACATGGTTCAAATACGTTGTTTACACATGATTCAAATCTATAAACACTACAGTTGAACTATGGTCACTTTAGTAAAACCATGGTTCATTTTCATAAGGGACTGATGCTGAAAGGCTGTTGCATGCATAAAATGCAACCTTTTTATAGTGTATGTTACTAGTGTATGATTTCTATTAACATTACAGAATAGAACATGATCAATATTA